TAAATCGCCCAATGACATGACAATCACCTGGCTATTTCTGTTATCTCTAATCAGTACGTGCATGGTATTTTCACATATGTAACAGTTAATTACGTTTGCAGGAGGGGCAGGTCAGGAGCAGAGGTTCTGGCTGTCCGAATCTGGCTTTGGGAACATGGAATATCACCTGTAGCTCAGTTAACCCTGAGCTAGTGCTTGAGGTTGACAGTGTATATAGGTAAGGTTAACCTCAATGTACAGCTTGGGCTCTGAAACAGAGAGGCCAGACTGTCCCTCTGGAGTTAGCACGGCTATCTGGCTAGCTTCATTCAGGTGATTTTCAGTGAAAATTATGTTGAGGCTCAAGACCTTGAGTTTCAGAGTACAAACAGGCCTATTTCATTTTTTTTATTACATAAATAGGCCAATATAGTGTCCCCAGCCTAGTCTAGTTAAACTCGCCCAATATAAATAGAATCATGATTTTGTTTAGTTTATAATTTTGTCCTTGATAATTTTCCAATTAAAGTCCTTTATCAATGTCTACCATAAAAAAATGTGAATACCACTCACACAATACGATGGTTCTTGTGTAGACATAAGGATTCATTACACGTAAAACCTGTAACACAACCTGTAAAACAACGACACGACCTCTCTTTTGTGTCTTAAAACAAGCAGCGACTGCAGGGCACATTCTCTTACGAATTTGGGTTATTTCCTCATACTTTACAAAGTTAGTGTAGTATAAGGAAATACTGCTAATACTACCAAGAAAGATAACACATCTTACAAGAAGTTTCCTCGCGGCTGGCGGTGGCTCCTGAGTGGCTGCTTACCGCGTGTGGACTTCCTTGTTACCGTTGCTACGGTTACCAGCGATGACTTGGCTGAAGTCCCTCCCTCCGAGTTTGCCCCGTCAGTGCTGCTCACTCAAGTTCCTTTACACACACACCCAACCACACAAGGGAGTTTATAGTAAACAGAGAACTTCATATGAAGCGGATGAGGCTGATACAGCGCAAGATATTTATTTTCTTCTACTTGAATTCTACTTTTTAGTCACGGGTACGTACTTTACCCTTTCCCCGCTAAATACTTAGTAACAGGTTGCACATTGTCGTTGTTGCTAGCCAAACGTTACAACTGTATGTTTTCGGGAAGACTTTTTAATATGTTCATGCAGTACGTTTGTTTGCACTGTTGTTATTGCAGTATTTTTATATTGAGAAGATTTCAGTTGCCGCAGGAAGTTTTACAACATCGGAAATGAAGTAAACGTTACGTTTTAACTTGTCAAGCCACACGTGAACTGAAACCTGAGCTATTCTTTTCTGTTAGCTTTGTCTCGTTTACCATGTGACGATTAATTTGACTGCTTGACAGGTGTAACGGGTATTTATTTAACAAATTGAAGTTGGACCTACTCCACCCTGTGGCGGAAAATCGACGGTTGTTATATTTAGATGCCGTTGACTTTTTAGGAAGTTGAGTGAATATTTTTGTTTGGCAGCCTGTAATACGTGAAATATTCTGCCGACACATGCAGCGATATAAAAACATTGGACGACTTGGCAGAAGACAGGCGGTTATGACCCGCTGAACTTAAATAAAAACAGTCCCAGTCATTAGTTTTAAGCTGTGCATTAAAATGTATTTTCTGTAAATACAGGTTCAAACTACAAATGTGACTCTTAATCAGTCTTTATAAGAGGAAGAAAGCAGAGGACAGTTTACATGTTGTGAAATATTCTGACGATGTGTTGCAAAAAAGTCCACTTTTGTTAACTTGTTAAAAATTTTCTCAAGAGGATTATTATTAGACTTTATATTTAATTGTAGTTGTCATGAACAGGTCTGAGAAATGGCACCTCAGTTTTGCCAGTTATTGATCTGTGACGGGCTAGTTGAACGAATGGAAAATAAAGGTTATGACTGTTGTGTTTAGTTGGAGACCAACAACTTAAATTGTCTCAGTCTAGTCCTGACCACAATGTTTGCTTAAATGTTGCTAACTGCTGTAGCTCTAACAGCTGTTACATGCCAACCCCAGAGACAGATAAGGCAGCTATGCAAAGCAGGTACCTTTTATGTGTTTAAACACTGGATCTTAGGAAAAGGACAGTTTTCTGGCAGTGAAAACAAGGATCCAGGCATTAAAAAAAGTATTTATTTGTTTTCTCTAAAAGTATAGACAACATTTCCAAGTTTTAACATAGGAGGCATTAACCTTGTGTGCTTATGTGGTTAAAGGCTGGAACGATTATAGACAATATTATTGTTGATATTATGAGCCTGAGGAAAAAAGCACTACATCACCCTCTTGAAACAGCAATTCACCTTAGTTCCCTTTCTTGTTTCCTCTGAAATTCTTAATCATTGTCTTTTGCATAGACCTCATGAGGCTTGACATGCTAAATGTTACACAATTGTAGCATATTAAACAATAGCTAATATTGCTTAACAGTTTATGCAACCATTGAGATGGCTGGACACCAAATGCTGTAATAGATAAATGTAAAAAGTTAAATCTGTGGTAAAATGTTTACTTTATCATCAAGGTTTGCCAAACCAGTTTAGATTAAATATAATACAGACATTTTTAAGTCAACTTTATGAGCAAAGCAAATATGAATCATTTGACTTGCCCTTAAGTTTGAAGGTCCTTCCATGTGGGTTTGCCAGTGTGTGTCTGAACCTGCTTTCTCATCTGTTCTTTTACCTGCCTACATGCATGTCAGATTTTTCCCCTGTCTGTTCCACATGTCTGCATTTGTGTAGGTCATCACACACAGCTTCAGAAGCTGCTGTTTATAAATCGATTGAGCAAAGTCACCGTGCACAAGTCGAAGGCAGTCTTCCAAACCAATGCACACAGAACTGTTGTCTGCATAAAACCCACCAGTAGTAGAGTAATCAGTCAATATTTCCTGCCAAAGACCACCCTTGTCATACCACAAGTTTCAGCTGCAGTTTTGGGTTTACTTGTCAGATGACATTACTTTCAGCAGCAGCCGTCTTCCCTGAATGTAAAGAGAAGAGCAGCAGTAGTTTTAGGTGTGCAGCACGTACTATGTTAGTCAAAAACAGAATCAGGATTTGTTGTAAAACTACACATTTTAAATGAGCGATTCTTGTCTGTTATACGATTGTAACCAATTAATATTAGTTTAATTAGATGTATCAAACAAAACTCCCTTTTATAGACTTCATGTTTTTATACAAATCTTTCATTTCTATACACTTTTGCATATAGAACAACAAAAAAAGATATATTTAATGGGAAAGCAGTCATAACTGAACACTCTTTTTGTCTCTCTCATAGGTTTGATCTGGTAATTAAAGAGGTGGTTGCTAAGAGATGACAGTCGGTGACATTGGTGAAAGCCTCAGATGTTCAGCAGACTGAAGCTTCACTCGTTTGGGATCTTTTTCCTGCACGCCTCAGTCTGTACCTGGCTCATATGAAGGACGTGGCAAACGATCTTCTATCAACAGACTCATAGTTACCATGGCAGCTTTTACTGCTCCATTTGCCAACGCCAGTGCCATGAACTCCATGTTGGCCCATACCGCCTGGCGAAGCCAAGAAAGCAGTGATGAGGCAAGTACGAGTGGGAACGGGAACGTTGGACAGAACACTATTCTGGAGAAAACCCACGAGTTCTTCCAGATGTGTGACATCGAGAACAAGGGTTTCATCACCCGACGGGACATGCAGGTGAGGCTTGTGGTTTAAGGACGACTGATAAAGTTCTGCTATCTTTAAACTAGTGTTATAATCTGTTTTAACATTACTAGAAATAATTTATTCCATTGTAGCCAGCAGAAGAATTAGAAAACATAATTACTACCAACTTTAATCATTCCTAATCAGTTACGTTTTTGCACTGTTTCAATCATTATTCTAAAACCACAGTTTACACATCACATTTTTATTGTGTTTAAAGATAACAGGTCATCATTTATCCAGAATAATATGCAGTGATGTGTCTGCACACTCATTAATGATGCTGAACAGGACACGGATACGACATGCACACCCTTTTCAAAGCGACATAATAGACACTCAGAGACAGAGAGCCATGCGGAAGCTTTGTCATGCAGCTCCTCCACTCACATTATTGTGCAGATTCAGATATTCATCCAGGCCACGGCTTCCACTTTGATGAAGCACTTCTAGGCTCTTGCTCTGAGGAGGACAAACGCGTAGAAGATAAGCTTTGATCTGCGGTTTATGATAATGGTTTCTAATTTAACTAGTAATGATGACGGCGGTCCAGTCCTCAAAATTATTTATATGAACATCTGCACTGACTGCTCTCTATTTAAAGGCAATACCTTGTCGTGTTACAGGGTTTGTTTTCACACTTTGCTTTCAGCTGACGACGACTGTGACAACATAACGGCTAAATAAACAGCACTGCTTAAGTTTATTTTCACTGTTGACATTGCAATTTCAGTGGCTGAGTCGTTTTCACTTGGCTTCACAGCTTAAAATACACTTCCAACCGCGATCACGAAGGGGGCGGCTTTACAGTTGAACTGTTTGCCAACATAAGGGATGTGTTCTTCAGATAACACTTCACAGGAACAGCTGATAGTTGTAGAAAGATGGTATCATTTCTGTGTCCCTGCCCTAGATTTTAAGGGTGAGCGTCAGTCAACATTTGCAACAGTGTAAACATCACATAAACTCAAATTGCTTGCAGAGGTGTGGTTGTGTTGGCTTTTGTTAAAGAAAAGAAGTTGCTGTCATGTGCAGTTCTTTAGGAGAATCTCTCTTTCCCACGTTCCTTTGGATTAACCTTTTAAATCCTTAAATTCTTAAAGATTATGAGAGATTGATAGTCTTGCGTCGCCATCATTTCCAGTGGAGATGCCGATGGTCACAAACTGAAGGCTGTAGCTACACGAGAAAGATTGTTTCACTGCATGAGTGTGAAACAGTGTTTTGCTAAACAAGATATATATCTGTTAAAGAAGCTTTAGAGCTAATTTGGTTCAATTTCGAATCACCAGGAATAAAAGGAAAATAACCTGATTGTTCCTTAGCTCACAATTTCCACTGCGCACGACTCTCCTTATAAAACTCTACTGTAAAGTTACAGTACTAATAATGTCCTTGAATATCTGCTGTATTTTCTGTCTTGATTAACAGCGGCTGAACAGTGAGCTTCCTCTAAGTGCGGAGGAGTTGGAGAATGTATTTGATACCCTTGATTCTGATAACAACGGATACCTCACCCTGGAAGAGTTCTCCTCCGGCTTTAGTACGTTTTCTCTCTGTTTCATGTTCAAATAGTAGCATCACACTTCTTATTAATCATCTAAGCTCTTGATCTTTTTTTAGGTTCCTTTTTGTTTGGTAATACCATTGCTGAAGAGGAAGTCATGGGGGAGAAGAACAGCTTGCCAGAGGTCCTGTACCAGACACACACAGAAGAGGGCCTGGTAAAAGCAGAAGAGGATGAGGAGGAAAAACACTTTTGCATGCTTATGGAGAGCCTTGGAGCCAACAATGTCTTTGAAGAGTGAGTACTGTATGAGTGTCTTTGCACACCTTTGTGCATTTTGTACATTAAATTTGAAATGAAAACCTATTTAAAGCCTGATACTTTAATCAGCATGAGAAAAACTTTGTTTCCTCTTATAAGCAAACCTCTTGGCTCTTGGTAGAGTATGTCTGCTTAAAATTTCAAGTCATTTTTATAT